TCTTTAATATAGAAACTACTGTGTCTACTACAGGTATATGTCAAAATTACTCAATGTAAACAATAAAAGTCAGCCATGTTGTAAACACTCTACAAATAGAATTTCTAGTTTCTATTAGTATTTATATATTTATAAAAAATAAAAGCTCCAATTCCAAGTGGCCTATTTAAGGCGTGTACAACTACACGATGAGAGATTATTCTCTCACCTCCACATTTGACAGGTTTGCACTCTGTTTCTTATCATTCCTTTGGGGTGAACGCCACCTCCGATGTGAAATGCATCCATCTCAAAAGCCCAGTCAACAAGAACTTCACACATGCCAGATCATACATGAACATGTGCTTTTAATATCTTTGCATCAGCCCTTCGATATGAAATGCATCCACCTCAAAAGCCAAGCCAACAAGATCTTTATACGTGCCAGATACACGAACATGTGCTTTTATTTTCTTTGCATCATCCCTCAGTCTACACGTAGATGACTATCTAATTATCTTCATTGATATCTTACTTTTGTGCTGTTCCTGCACTGTACAGTGATTGTCTCATTTGCTGTCTTGTTATAGTAGGTGATACCTCCTATAATTGACACATGCATGCGTACACCCCTGTCGTGACTATCAATAGTGAACATTGTGAATCATGATCACATTAATCCACTGCTATTATATAGCCTAGATGACTTTTTACCATCTAGACCCAACCTGCATGTATCCACCTATGTTTGAAAGCTAGAAAGCTAGTCAGTCTTTCATGTCTTTAGGATCCATCTTTATTAATCTCCTCAAGATGACTTATTCATCATAATTCCCAGACTGTGATTAATACTACTACACATACATTCTGACATGTCCATTTAATCTCTCTACCTCATTACCATCTATCCATGAATATATCATCACTACGAATGATCGCTGGTATTCCCCCTGGTTTAAAAACATTGCTTTCACAAACCCCAGGGGGGTGTTTCACAAAGATCCTAAGTAGAACTTAACTCTAAGTTGGACTTAAAAATTATGGACAGCCATTGGAGTCTTAAAATGAAATATATTCAAAAGCAGAAATTCAAGTATTTTAGACTTTTTATAAATCCAACATCCAGAACATGAAATCTCCTTGATGATAGACAATATGAATGATTTGAATAAACAATTAATGCCTTTCAAAATAACTTTTACAAAATATTTTCAAAGATGCTAATGGCTTTCCATAATTTTTAAGTCCAACTTAGTGTTAAGTTCTACTTAGGATCTTTGTGAAACACCCCCCTGATCTTATATATCCCCAGGCAAATCTGTATTTGATCATTTCTGTATTTGACATAAACCAAATGATTCTTGAATCCTGTCACCATTCCCCCATGTTTTCATCCTCTCCTTGAGTGATCACTGAGTATCTCTTTTCATAGAACATTAAGGTTTTCATGAGCCATTTATCTTCCACACATCCAAGAGATCACTCTTATAATTACTTTAATTAAGCATGCATTTGACAACATAAAACCATAACATGGACATGACTGATTATTCCTTTATCCCTTCACCATCCACCCACAGATTTATCTTTTCAGTGACTGATCATGGACGCCTCTCCCCATTGAGCATTTTCATGTAGCTTTTCACAAGTGCTTAATGATTCATAATACCATTCATCAATTTAACTGATGGTACTACACATGATCCAGCGAGAAATGTTCAGTGGTCAATTCTGACCACTAACCAAAGTCCAAGTTTCAACCCTGGGCAAAACACTTTATCTAAACCTAACTTTAAATATGACCTAAAACTCCAATCACAACGCTTTCTCCTAATCCTATATGTTCAACAATAAACAATAAATGATATAGCAAATGTCAGAATATGTGGCTGATAGCTATATTACTGGAACATTACTTTACTCGCAACCGCAGAAAACCAATCTCCTACTCTCCACTCCTCCCTTCATTCAACTGCAATCCCTGTCTCCTAATTCTTAATCCCATATCTCCCATTAATCCAGGAGATCAGCTTTTAATCCCACCCTTACCCTATAACCTACACCACCCCCTGGTGCCTCATCTGAAGAGTCCCGCTCACGCGTCTAGCAGTGTGGGACGAGCGATTAATCTCTAGCCTTGTGGGGATCAGCCCTTGATCTGTCACCCATCTCCCTTTCTTGGATCGTTTTCACCGAGGTAATGTGCCCAGATGTACAGCTGATCACAGCCAGTACAGACCCACAGGGAGACCGCAAGGCAGTTTGTGGAACAAATCCGAGACTTGGTGGCTCCTACTTAGTCCACCTATCTTGATCGACTCTGACATGGGATTCCCTTTCCTGAAGAATTCATGAATTTTGGAGGCACCGTGCAACCATTTTCACACTTCTCCTCAAAGGGATTCCTTAAATCCTCAACGATCACCACGAAACAAACCAAATCATCTCATAAGACATACAGATAAAACATAATATGAATAACAGATACCTTTCATTTATACAAGAACACAAGAAGTAATTCAAGAGTTACAGAGGATTGAAGACCAAAAAAAATATATATGTTATGAGAAAAAGAAAGAAATTTAGTAAGCTCTTAGAGGTTTAAAAAAAATAGTTACAAAATGGACAAATAAGAGACAATGATCGATAAATAGTATTACAGGGAAAGAGAGAGAATGAGGTACATGTAAGTGAAGATGTTTGGCGGCAGAGGTAGGAGACAGAGATGCAGAGACTGAGGAAGTGAAGAGAGAGAAAGAGAGAGAAAGAGAGAGAAAGAGAGAGTGAGAGAGAGAGAGAGAGAGAGAGAGTGAGAGGGAATGAGAGGTGTCAAGGGGCCGTCAGGGCTTCGACTACTAACAAGCCAGACTTACAGACTCCAAGCCCGCCACCGCAAACTCAACTGGTCAACAACAGGCTCCGCATTAAACATGAAACTTGACTTCCGTATCAAGCGTGAAAATTAACAAATTCTGCAAGAACTCACTCAAATTCTCCTCCATTATCAAAGAGAAAGTAGAGCTACTGACTGCAGCACCTACATGTACTAATACTAGTGTGAGTCATATTGGAAAGGTGTTATGTTGGTCATTGTTATCAGTGCCAGAAGGTATGACTGCATCACAATAAATACTTCAGAATGTTGCTGGATACAAGGGCACTTCAAACAAAAATCAGCAGGGTGAAAAGCAAAGAATGTTCTCCCTTTTCGTCTCCACTTCAACAAGCATCATCGATCCCTACTGCGATTTACACAGCATGTGTCTGACACTCATGGCAATAAAACAGATATTTTGATTTTTTAAATGCATCAGTGAATTACGTGTGATAGGAATCTTCAATAGATTCTGACAAATTGCAAACAATATACTCCAACCCTTTATCCCCTCTTGATTCCTGCAGCGAGTCAACACGTATCAAGGATCACTGAGGGGCCTAACTTCCTAATTACCTGCTTTTGCCATCATCTAGGGTGTACATCACAATTGCATCTTTCACCCACTTGTCGAGATCCTAAGATATGGCATGTACTGTTAGGTTATGAGACGGATGTCTCTCCTTTCATGGATGTCAAACTTCTTGAACACTTGTCAAGATTCCTGAACGAATCTCAATTATTTACTTCTTTTAGTCATGTCAAACTGACATCTTACGGTGACCATCAATTAGTGACATGTATTAGTGAGCATACAGAGATGCCAACCTCTTGACACAAAAAAACAGACTAAGGATCCTAAAAAATCAGATTTTGGTGAGAAAATCAAATTTTCTTGTAAACTCGACACTACCACTGGCCCGTCGGTACATGTTTCTATTATTAAAAAAAAAAAAAAAAAAATTAAAGATGAAAAATTGTATTTTAAAGAGAAGGTTGAGTTCTGGGAAGAGGTGAAAAATAATTTGTGAGCATTACTCATTCTTATTATGCAAGTGTGGAAGAAAATCAGTTAAGACATGTTTCCTGAAAAGCATGGCTCTTCAAATGCCTTCATATTCTAAATATGCATGTAACATCGTAAAAATCGGGGGGCCGGCTTTTTACGCCACCTGTTTGTGTAGTCCCATATACATCTTTCTGTGCAAGTGTTTGTAACTTGACCAAGACTTGGCCACATTTCTTATCATTTTGATGATTCCAGAACCTTGCAATACACACAAATTCTAATATGCTAGATGATCAACCTTTTCTGGTCGGTTCCACACCCTTTCTTTCACAATGCAATCGCATGACCGGAACTCAACTTCATCTTTAAGAGATGATATCGTATCATCGTATTTCACTCTTATTATCGTACTAAATACGATTTAATCATACTGGTTGGCATCTCTGTGTACAAGTGTGCAATTTGTATGCTTACCATGGGTGGTATTCCGGTAGCGCGTACTAAGTTAGCGCGTACTTAGTTAGTTCACACTTTTATGGAGTGCCTGTTGCAAACTAATTTACCCTGTGTACAGATTATTTTAATCCTTGAATGAAAAGTGTCCAAAAAATTAATTTTGCAATGAAATGGGAAGAAAAAGATAATATGAGTATGAATTGAATTTCAACAAAGTCTTTGGTAGATTATCTTTCGTCATGAATATTGAAGGAGGAAGATGAAACCTAGCATTCCATAGAAGTGTGAACTAAAATTCTTGTTTAGTCTGGACTTAGTCCAGGCTTCACTTATGAGAATACCACCCCATGTGTTTAAAAAATAATATGATTTTGGAACTTTCAGACAAAATATGGTAATCTGCTTTTAAAAAATTGACCACAGCAAATGTAATCGAGAAAAGCACCATACTCCTCACATAACTTCTGGATTTTATTATTTTACGTATGTCAGCAAGTACGGTGGCTTTTGTTGAAGGTAGCTATGTGTTTCACCATCAAAATATTGCCTCTTGCCTGCCTTTCATGTCCACACATCTTTGGCATACATGTGCGGCACTTTCTACGGCAGTTTACCACGGGTTAAGGATTGATTATTCTTATTTCTGGATAGTCAATATGTACATGCCCCCTTGAAACATACCATTTAGATGTTGACAGACGGGACAGGACTCGGTTGCAAACATGCAAGTGTAGCATCGGGAGTGTCCACAGGCATCTGTCAGCTTGCGCTTCTTGCTCTTGTCGTAAGACTGATGGCAGGATGGGCATTGTGTAGTGTGATTAGTATCCATCTCCATGGCGATTACAATGGTGACTCAGATCACCTGCATTTGGGCAACATCATAGTCCTTCAAGGAAAAAGGGGAAACGGAGAGAAAAAATAATGAAATATTGTTCATCTTTTGTTTCATTCATCAAGAATTTAATCAGTGAATCATTGCAAAAATATTAGCTAAAGCTTACGTTCAATGTCCATTATATGTACACTTGAGCCAAGTATCCTTCAGAAAATATTAATTCCTTCTATTTCCTACACTGTACATTCTTTGAAATGTTCAAACAATGTACTTTATTGTCATCCTATATGTACATGCAGGTGAACTTGTACATGTACATGTAGCTACATGTATTGCATGAAATATTTGAACAAGTTGAAACCATTGTTTTGACTTGATTTGGTAGAACTCACCATAGTTTAAATTGTATGTTTGAACGTGCTTGATGGAATAAAAGCTATATTTGTAATATTTTAGTTTAGCGCAGCAGCATTAAATCAAACACATAGTTAACTGACGTGTATGTGAGTTTACATAGATGTACGTGTACAGTACATTATGTACAATGTGCCTAGACTGCTGACTAGCTAAATCAGTTTAATCTTGATAATAATCATCCCTGATTAATTATAATGATTCACTTCAATTGCATGCGCTACGTCATTGCCGTAAAAACAAATTAAACGTCGGATGTAATAGTAACGAGACAATTGTATATATTTGCTGTTCTTTTCCCCGCAGCAACTTCAACTGTTGCACGTTCGGGATACGCTGTAATCACTATTTATGCCACATTGCTACGCGTTCATCTCAAATTATCAGATTAATTCTGCTATATTTACCCGTCCCAGCCGAGGGTGCTATTCGGCCGCATGCAGTCACCTAATGAGCATAGGGGGACATTATAGAGTGGTGAGTCAGCGTGCTAAACATTCACAGATCACATCCCATCAGCTGGTTAATACATTATCCACACTCTCACCAAGGAGATACCGTTAACTTCCCCTAACGCAAATGCCGCAAGTAACTTAGACTGAGTCAGCAAGAAGATGACCACATCAACTAGACACTCAAGTCAAAACCATACTGTTTTTCACCAATTTTACAGTATTGATTCAGGGATGCATAGATATAGAAGAAGATTACCACATCAACTAGATATCCTAGTCAAACCATACTGTTTTTCACCATTTTCACAGTATTGATTCAGGGATGCATAGAAAGAAGATGACCACATCAACTAGATACTCAAGTCAAAACCAGTGTTTTTCACCATTTTCACAGATATACATATTGATACAGGGATGCACAGACAGAGAGATCAGGTTTGAAAGATAATGAATAGTCCAACACAGATAAGTGACCCAAGTCACCGGGTATACCCAAGGCTGAAATGATAAAGAGCATTCCCAAATATAGAATTACTTGGGTTACAGCAAATCAATAGCGTAGATTTATGCGACTCGAGATGAATGTAAACATATGTCAAGGATATTATTTTAATCATGATAAATACCATAGTCACAACATAAATTTTACAAAAGAGGGCATTGAACAAGCATAAAGAGCTTAAGTTTAACAGTGATAGGAATAATTGTGCAAGAAAATAGCAAAATCTATGGTAACCGGATTTCAATATTTCTACCCCTTCCTTGATTCCACCGTGCTACGCCACTGAACGTGACCTCGGTGCGCTACGCTTTCTCCACTGGCAGCAACTGGAGTAACATGCATCCTCGTCAACAAATAAGACAAAACGCTTGCCAACCCTTCTCCATTTACATTTACCAACCAAAATAGGTTTCAGCATCAGCAGCCTCTGTGCAGTGTGTGTGTTTAGTCTAGTATGATATCGATTTGATATTGCATAGAGAAATGGCCCTTTCTTCTTCTTCTCTCTCTCTCTCTTTCTCTCTTTCTATTTTCTCTCTCACTACTAACACAGCAGCCATACAATGAACAATCCAGGCAATTTAGTGAATAAATTTGAGCACAATGTCATTGTCTGTATGTAGTCTGGAAGTGGGAGACACCCAATAGTAATACTATAAAAGAATTGTAGGGCATTAAAATATTCTAAACCTTCATTTCTAAGGTTCTTTTTACATTTAGAATTTGAAATTCTATCAAGGTTCTTGATGTCATCTGCTAAATGAACGTGACATTGTAATATTCCTCCAATAGTACCTTCACAATTGAATGTAGGCATACTATTATATGCAAAACTTGCTCTATCAAGAGTATATTAATATTCTCTCAATTGTACAAACAGCATTGAATATATACCATACAGTATTACATACATGTAGGTAGACCAACACAACGCATAGGCCTACAGCTTACACGTACAAGAAGATGGGCTCTCTACCCCAACGCTTTGTCATGAAACTGAGAACTGAGGCATTCTAAGATTACAAGTACAAATAGGAGAAACAAAATCCCGATGTGTTCTCAAATTACCAGACTGAGGGACATGCATAGGTAAACACGACAGGCACAAACATGTCTGTATCAATACAGGAGCGGCTTGTTTTCAGTCAAGCACTGCAAAACAATAACAAAAGGCCTATATTCATTATCACTAAAAATTCACAGACTATGAACTTATTTGACCTCATCTGACCTTAATTGACCTTCTGTCCTTACCTGAGGTCAGGAGTATTGGGGGAATATAGTCAATCCCCCAAGGGCACGAAATTTGGGTAGGTGATGACAAATTCCTCAAATTCTTGACTCAGTGTAAACAGTGCATACATCTGTATATTTGTGTGGGTGAAGATAAATGTACACTCTTGTCAAGTGCAAAACGGTTGTGTGTCCATACATGTACACATACATGTGCTATGGTTCGATACCAGTATTCTGTGAGGCTCTTTATTGCTCGGTGTGTACTTAGAATACTCTCTGCCTTTACACTAATCTTCAATGGAGGGTCAGTATATCATTAAAAACCCAATAGTATACATCTTGGTATTCAAATGCATATGAATCCATACTCTATCACATTATTGAAGTTTCCCAGTATTATGATGTCTGTCTTCCATATCTAACCAAAGATATAAGAAAATTCACTAAATGGATATATGTCCATGTAGAAAAAGCTTTCATGTGATCCCTCTTAAAAGAGACCTAATAATGTCCTAATCCTTTCCACAAATGCAATCGTTATGAAAGTACAAGCTCATTAATATTATAAGAAGTCACAATAGAACAACTGACCAGTAATCACTGTGAAAGTATATTTTTTCCTCAATCCTCCTGTGGGTTCAAGACTTCCAAGTGTGTTCCGCTTAACTCAGTAGCACTCCTCATGCATGTAAACATTCCCAGAAAGCATTACAGATTCATCCTACCAGTACCATCTCCACCACCACCACCATCATCATCATCAACGCAACATCACCTCCGCCGATTGTTTCCTTGAGGGGGAAATGGGCAATATCACTCGCTCTCTGGGCACCAGCGACTCACAATCAAATTTCACGGATGGGGGTCGTACAAGCTAGCTCCTCACTCCAGCACATGTAGTGAGCAACTGAATGGGGAAGGAGGGAGTGATCGCAGTAGGTCCATGCTCACAACCAAGGAATCGCATGAATGCCTCCCTCCTTAGCTAGGCATTGTACAATGTGCTTTTTCCTCCATGTATATGCATTTGATACTGTGTATGTGTACACATGTACGGGAATAGTGTTCATAGTATTTTATGCCTGCATTTAAAAATCTGTACTGGCATACTACCTTCATATTCAAAATAATAGGTCTATATGGAGGATTTTTCTAATATGGGGGAGGGGATTATGGCTGATATAATCTCAGTCGTCAGTGAACAGGTTGCCATGGTTACACAGTCTCAATTATAATGATGATGAGCTAATATTTCTGATTGCTCAGAATGTACGAAAGTGGGATTAAAGGAATTTCCTCAAGATAAAGGACCTAGAAAATAACATTACTTGAGATTCCACTGAATAGGAATCGATGTTGGACTCATTTTTTAATGAATAAGTGATTTTTACAAATATTAAAATGATGGGAATATTTAAGAGAATTCTGTTGGATCTATGTATAATTTAAGTTTGCAAAGGTCTAGATTAGAAGGTAAAACCTTTGACATGAAGTACATGGAAAACAGTATGGCTTTGAAAACTGTATAATTCACAAGACTATAAATAACAATTTTGGGAACATATATTATATTTCATTTGTTGATTATCTTTTAATGTGTATCATGAATACAAGCTCGCATGTTAAGGTGAGCCTATGGAATTATGAACTACTTAAGAAGACTGATATGAAATCGTATCAACAGTGACAAGCTTCAAGCCACATTAATATCAATCTCCATTTTGTCTCACAAGCCACGATGTGTTTACCAGCTGTGCAAAGTAATCATGCACAGTATATGAACATATGCACATGAACAGATGCATGAACGTGGGAATAAACCGCAGGAAAGGCATGAATTGAATTAGCATAAATTTCCTACAGCACAGAAATGATGGAATCATTCAATTACATGTATCTCTTCTTCTTTTCAGCATGTGTTTCAATAGGCCTTCATGATATGCATGGTACAGCAGCCATTTGATCCAACATCCTTTGTCTATTTTGTCTACATGTACTGTACATTCATGATCCAATTCGTCTATTCTCCCTGTGGTATCAGTTTGCCTCATTCTCGCTCTGTCAAGTTCGTCTAAAAAAAGTATAGGCTATTATAGGTTGTCTTGTAACGGTCAAATGGTACCTACATGTACATTTAGGTATGGTTGACTTGGGCCGATTAAAAAAGGAAGTGTTGCCAAGGGTTACACCAGGACACTGTCACTGACCAAGTACATATTCGTCAATAAACCAAATAATGGTACTGAAAATGGTCTAAACTTCAAGATCAATGTCATCAATTTGATAGAAGATAATGTATAGACTGAGTAGGCCTAGAACGGCAACATGGAATATGATAAATACATACACATTTTATATCACTCTATAATTTTGTTTTTTCTTCAACTAATATGCTTCGAGAATTTAATGTGCAACATTCTTTTATTATCAGTTCCAATACTGTTTATAGAAAAGATACTAAATGAAATAGGAAACTACAAATGTATGTTTTTAAATTATTATTTTTATTATTTATTTTATTTTTTTAGTGATTTAAAAATAAAAAGTTACATTTATTACACTGTAAATAATGAAATATATATATATTCTCATTGTATTTCCTATCCTCCCTCCCACCTTCCTTAATGTTGTGTATCTTTGTTAACCAACCCTATCATTTCATAGCTCATTGTGTGTTCAAACTTTTTTTCATCTGTGCTCAATTAAATAGGCATACGTTTAGGTGGATTCTTCAAGCAAGCGCAGTGTTCCCAATATGAAAACCCCTCCCAGTTTTCCCGTTGCACACAAACAATCCATCTCCCTTTCGTATGGAACCCCATGAAAGAACGAATCAATCAGAGACGACCCGGATCAGATGGCAACCGTGAGACACGCGTAAGCCTACGTAAAACCATGCAACGAGATCCCCTTGCGGGCTGTCAGGCTACGAGTGTCCAGGCAGTGTGGATGACACCTTCATCAAATGACCAATTTGCCAGCAAAGATGAATGCATCTCGATCTCATATTGCATGCAAGCAGAACCACGGCACCGAAATAGAACCATTATAATTATCTGAATAGAATTTACACAGTGCTACATTGTGAGGAAGGGTAGGTTGGGGGGGGGTGAAGGTGAAAACATGCCTGTCATTTGCTCTTGGGCATGGAACCGTGAACAGTTATCAATCTTGGATTGCTTTGCTCGTCATTTCCTCCCTTATTTTATTTGACTGCATTACGAAATCTCATCATGGGGTGCCATTATAGGGAATTACTTATTCAGGATGAGGAAATGTATTGCATGTGTTCCACATTATCTCTTGAGAACGCAGGCTCCTACTTTTGAGGCTTTGTTGCACTTTTCTGAAGCAAGGTTATTATCACTTTCTCAGTATTATTCAATAACATTATTCTTTATATTTAGGGGCAAGGGAACTTTTTTATCGCACAGGGGTATTGGCCTTTGGGTGTATCAGGGACTTTCCTCCCCCATCCAAAACTACACAAAAAGGAATAAATTGTATCCTACATATGGTAGTGTAGACCTATATTCGTCTTCATACTGTGTGCCCCCTCCCTTTTCTTGAGAGTGGAGAATGTCCCTGCATAAATATTGGAAGCAGAAAGCATAGTCCTCAAATTTAACACATATATAAACATACATGTATGTATAATTTAGAATATAATGTCTCACAAAGTACAATACATTAGATTTCACTTGGCGAAATTCACATACCATTTTTGAAAAAATTACATGTACATGTCACTGAAAAATCTCTTCCTCCTTTTGTTTGTTGAACATTACTGATGCCGATACTGTATCACAGAGTACCCAACAGGTTTACCACCCCTTCACAAAATTGAAATATTCTGTGTACCCTTGCAGGCTGTGTAGCTGACCAGAATATCTAATGAACTCCCCCAATACCTACAGTTCCTCTGCTCAAATTTCATCAAAACTGGCTGGAAAGCCCAAGGACAAAGGACAAAACTCAATACAACCTATCTCCAAATGAACATTTAATCATTGATGGACAGTCGTTACGCTGGTCAGGGAACAAGGCTGGCCATATCATTTTTGTGTGTCAGTGTCACAATAATTTATTAAACATTTGAATGTAAAAAAGGTGATTTTATTTTTACCAGTGAAGGGCAGTGATAATTAGAAACTTAGGCATATTGACAGAAATGCTATTAGAGATGGTGGCTATTTTCTCTTCATTGTGACATTTCAAAAAGGTTGAAGGGTAAAAATGAAATGACCTTTGACTCCTGTCAACTTGCTTGCTATTTGAGATGAGGACCCAAACGATATGCTACAATGTAATTATGTAACTCCAAAGGAACAATGCACTATCAAAAACAGCATTACCTCATATACTCCCCTCTTTTGAATGTATTCAATTCTTCCAAAATGATATTTGCATTAATGCCTATTGCTATGCCTGATACCATACATATGAATTGCCATTTGTAAAACACACATAATCTAAGGAAATTCACAACCAAATTGATTGTATTTCTGAAATTTCAAGCTTATAAAATACAAGACATGGAGGATGGGTAGGATATCCAACATTTTACAAAGCAGAACTTTAAATGAGAATCCTAAAGATAACATGAGATGCATGTACAATTTCCTCAGGAAAAAGCAATCTGCATACATTACCCATTATTCACTACAAATATTTGTTTGGCATTGAATGCTACAGTGTGGAAGTACTGAGATGGATATTGCGATGGCCATATGTAGATACATGTAGGTTTTAGGCGTACAGTCGCTTTGGTATGGTCCACAATGAGAATTCTGAAGTACATGTACATGTACCAGGAAAATTTACATGAATCAGTTTTCACAGTATGTTGTGAAGAATTACAAAATATCCTCTGGACTATTAAAAAATACCCTGTATGTCATAAAACAAAATAGCAAAAATGCACTCCATACACAAACATTTGAATGTAGGTATACTAGATGTACATGTAATTGTGGATATTCAATAATAATAATAAGAATAGTTCAGTTCTTGTATAGCGCATAACACGTTATGAAATAACATCTCTATGCGCTGCCAAAGAGCGTTGGACTTTATTACCCTAGCTTTAGCTCTGGCAGCCTTACTAATGCTCTCCTCACCTGTAAAGGTACTGTATTATTTTAACATAATGACATGGTTTAGAAAGGCACAATGTAGTTAGATTGTTTTTGATTTTTCTTCAATAAAAAAGAAAAATTGAAAATGAAGAATGAAACATTAAACTTAAATGAAAAAAATGGATGAAAAAGTTCTCAACAGATGGAATATATAAGATCAAAAATTGTTTGAAAATATATCTATGATAAGGAAAAAAAAACTTTTAGACTGATTTTTCATTATGATTTTTGACAAAGCTAGACTGTAATCTTAGCCCTGAAGAGCCATTTTCAATCATCTACAAAAACATTATCCTTCTGACTTTCAACGGACGGAATATAAGATGAGAAATACGTTCAGAAAAAAATTGGGAAAAAAAATCAAGAATAAGACCAAAAAAAAGTCAACAAATTGATGTTGATTTATA